ATTAATTTTAAAAAAATTACGCAGACAAATTTGCCTATGTTACAATCTAAGGAATAATGTCTGTATATTTAATTTATAAACATACAACATTTCTACTGGCATTGTTTAAATTTTAAAAAATGATATACAAATTAAATTTAATTCTTCTATAAATTTTACACTTAACTTAATATGAGCAAAACTAGTAACACACATTCTTTTGTTTCTCATCTTATCTTCTAACTACCCAATTCATATTTATTTAGACAACTTATTTGTTATACAAACTCTTACAAATTCAATATCTTATAAATATAATTTTTAAACTAAATAAAATAATTAGAATATTATTCATATTCTAAATTATCTAATCAAACTTAAAAATATTAATTATACTATACACAAAGTTAAATCATATTCAAATAATATTTTATATAATATTGCTGACATCTTAGCTAAACAAGGTGCTAAAAAAAACAGATTTAAAATATAACTTTGACTATTTTTGTTTATCTTTTTTCTTTACTTGAAAAAAAATACCAATTATATACAAACTTTATAAATTCTGCAAAAAACCTCTTTTTAATTTAAACATTTAACAAATTTCTTTAACTTAACACAAGTTAAATAAATGAATAAAGAGTAAATAATAAATAAATAACAGAAAAAAAATCTATCATTATTCTACTCTATATTCACCAAATAATAGCAGCATAACAGCAGCATAATAGCAGAATAATAGTAAAATAAAATGAGGTTTGTCAATATAAGTAATATAACAGTAACATAATAGCAAAATAATAGAACAGTTCTATTATTTTACTTTTAGTTACAAAGACTAAAAGTAAAATAATAGAACTGTTCTATTATTTTGCTATTATGTTACTATTATGTTATTTATATTGACAAATTTTCTGTTATTTTACTATTATTCTGCTATTATGCTGCTGTTATGCTGCTATTATTTGGTGGATATAAGATAGAATAATAGCATAATTTTTTTCTGTTATTTACCTATTATTCACTTTTTATTTATTCATTTAACCTGTGTAAACTATTACGAAATCTTTTTACTATAAATATCCTACTATTTACTAAAATTATTAACTTCCAAAATTTTAATTTAAACTTTTATTTTATTAGAAATAAAATTTTTCTTAACAACTTACCAACAATGTTAAATCTAAATATTTACTATCCTCTACTTTATTTAACTTCAAACTGCTCTCATTATAACTAATATAAAAATACTAAATATTTACTTTAATGTTTACTTTACTTTTATAATCTACAAAACATACTTACTAATAAAACTACTAATATTTTAAGTTTATTAAACCTTATTGAAGCTTCACCATATACAATAACTCAAATTCTCAACTTACAAAACCTTTTTCCAAACTCTACTATATATAACACAATACTTCTACTTATTCAAGACATAATAACATTTGATCAATATAAACAACTTTAACCAATTCTTAAAAAATTAACTAATAATTTTTTTATTTTCTTATTCAACTCTTTATTCAACTGGTTCAACTTTACTATCTGGCAAACTCAAAATACCAAACAATATAAATAAAAATTAGTACAAAAAATTACTGCTCTTATTAAAAGAAAATACAATATTTGATTATCTATTATACAACTTTCTAACTTTAATAATAATACATTTGCATTTAATACTAATATCAACTAATTTATTTTTAAAATTCTTTTTTAAAATTTTACTATATATAACTGCTTTTACTAACTAAAACAATCCTAAGCGTTTTTTTTATTCTTTCTTGTAATTTTTTTTTTATTTTTATTTTTTTATTATTATTAAGGCTATACTTGTGATGATACTTTATTGACTTTATATTAGGTTAGTTATTATAACTATTTTTACAGAGATAAAAGTACAGCTAGTTATACATACAACTTTTGGTTACCTATTTAAGTAGTCTGCTCTAAGGTTCTATACTAGATGCTATATCAATAGCTTACTAGAAGATTATCTATTTAAACTCTCTGATCATCTGTCCTGTCATATTGGAATCCCCAACTAACCCCCCATATATACCTACTTGATATACCATCTGAGCAGTATGGTACCTACCCTTTTGGTATTGGTTCTCAGGCCATTATACATTTCAGAGTATGCCACTTGCCAGTTAGTAATAGGAATCGACTAAATAATAGTCGACTAAGTCGACTAAAATCAATTAGTTGACTAAATTTTTGTAGTCGACTAAAATCAACTAGTTGAAATAGTCAATTAGTCAACTAGTTGATTAATTAGTTAAGACTATATCAAAGCTAATTTTAGTTATTGTTTATTACAAAATACTTGTAATTAGATTCAAACAAATTTAATATTTAACAATTTATAGCCAACTAATCATAGACAAAATTTTACTTGTTCTTAGATAGCATAGATCAGATGGTATAGATCATGTGCACTTTTTATCTATAATATACTTTTTGGTTAATTATACATTACATACAAGGTTGTATACCCTATAAAAAAAGTTTGTCCAAATTTTGTCAGCAATGTTCTAAAAATTTTCTAAAGTTATTCCGTTTTTGTTTAAAAAACTGCTCAGAATGGAGTCGATTTTCCAAACATACCATATATTGTACAATGTTTATATCTAATGTTGCCCACTTCAAAATTTCTTTTTTTATATCACAGTATAAAAATTGTACAATAACATACTGACATCCAGAAAATCGACCATATTTCAATTTTTTTGGACAATGCTATAATAACTAAACAAACTTTTTTTATGATGATAAAATAAAACTGATACTAACATAATTCTTATGCTTATTTTTGCTATTATAAAATTCTTGAGATTTTAGTGATCTCAAAATTTCAGGAATTTTACATTGTAGAAGTGTAACTGACTTCAATACAACTAAAAAGTACAACTCAAAACTATTAAAACAATAACTAACAAAGCACTTCAATCGATGTGTATAAGATTTGGTCTGAGTTTAGAGACTTTAGGTCTTACAGGTTTATTACTAGAACTTTGATAAGTATCTTTTTACTTCAAGTAAGGGTCCTTGTACTTATTGTGCTGATTCAATGCTAATGTCTTTACTGCATTTTCTCTTGATTTTAGATATATAGCTTATTTCTGTCATGTGATTTGGTGGACCCATAGGGCTACAAAGTCACGATCAAATTCAAATTACGCAGATTTGGTAATAATGAATTTGATCACAAATGTAATTACTGGATTTCTTTATATAAAAGAAATTTGATTACTAATACAATCTTTCTTTTTCTTACTAATTACAGTAACAGGTTAACAAGATCATGGGAATAAGAAATTACAAATATTTCAAATGATATGTTTTATAAAGAAATTTTTAATACTACTTGGATATTTCTATTATTTTATTTTTTGAAGTTTTGATACCAAGCATTATCCCTATTTCAAGGAAAAGTCTCACAATATATATACTTTCTTTTCATACATAATATAATAATAACTATGCTAACTATTGCTACTTTTACTATTTTACTAGATTTACAGGTAATTACAAAGATTATTGTGCTTTGCAAAAAGATGTAGCCTCTGCAAATCATGTTGTTGTATGAGAATCGGAGGTTTTATAAATTTTAAGAGATTTTAAGATTTCAAAGAAATATAAATATAACTAATTGAAAATATAAAATAACAAACAATCTAGAATCTCAAATTTTCCAGATCAAAAATCATGCAGCTACATCTTTTTGCAAACTAAAATAATGTAATATTTATTTTAGGAATTTTGACGATTTAACAAAAACAGCTACTAAAACTATTTTTAGAATTTTTAGAATTTTCAGAATTCATACTATGTTGAAAACTGCAGCACTTCTGGGATAGCAATTTACCCTTTTACAATGTATATACTATTTTAAAAAATCGTAGTACTACATATTCAAGATTCTAATTTTTCTTTTCACAATATACATATGTATTAGCACTGATAGAGTTTAGTATATAAAATATACATATTCATAATTTAATACCCAAACTATTGGAATTTGCTTTATTAAATTTAGATTAAAATTATTATACTACACTATATACCTCTAATGCTAATAATAACAATATGCTAATACAATATAGTTAAACTGGATATAATTGTTTTAGAGCTTAAAATAGTGATCATATTTAATGGCATATGATAGTTAAGTTTTTGACCTGAGATCCTATTATTATATAAATGCACTCTTTAAAAATTTCAATCAGTCAGATGCAAATAAAATTGGTTGTAATTTTTTTTTAAATTACAATAAATCCAAATTATTTTTATCTTGTTTTCGTAAACCCATCCCAGATCTTTATTATTCAATAGTTGGTAAGTAAAACATATTATAAAATTTGAAACTTAATTAAACTTATTAATTTAATTTTTCTGTAATTGATTATTTTTAATACACTTATAAAGTATTAGTGAAATACGACTAAAAGTATACTTGCACAATCTATAAAGACCAATTAAAATATTGATGCAATAAAGCTTCTGAATATCTTTTTAAGCAAATTGGAGATATAAGTGTTAAAAAGTAATAATTAAAGTATGTTATATTAATAAAATAATGAACAAGATCATTAAGAAATATAAAAAAGATACTGTATAACCAAACAAGCAAATATATTCTGATTCATTAGCTTATACTAACTTAAATCAAATTAATCTAAAAAAGATAACAGCGCAAATTTGTTTTACTATAATTTTAAAAAAATTTAATAGAATCGTAATAATATAGTGCAAAGCAAAATTTAATAATTAAGTGAATGAAGAAACTCAGATTATAAAATATATATATGTTTATACATAGTGCATAAAAGAGAAAAAAAGTATTGTTGTTAATTGCATGCTTTTATAAATTGGTCAAATGAAACAAAACAACCTACAAATTATATATAAAAATCTTATTTGTAAGTAATAAAGTTAACTAAATAGATTTTTTTATATAAAGACTGCAAATCATTTAATATTAATTAAATTTTTTCTTTTATAAAATTTCAATGAATTCCAATCGTATTGAAGATTATTTTACTCAAGAATTCTTTGATGATTTTAGAGAGTCTGAACCTGAACCGACTATTACTTCACCTGGCTATTCTAGCAACAATGAATCTTTATTTGCAAATGATCTTTTAGTCATAGATGATAATTTATTTGTAGATGAAGATTCACATATAAAAGAAACTTTATTAACTAATGAAAGTTTATCAAAAAGTCATAATTTATCAGCAACATATAATATTCATAAATTTTCTGTTTGGTCATATTTTAAAAAACATCAAGCTCCAAACAAAAAGAGTATTGAGGTTACTACAGCCTTTTGCCATATTTCTGGATGTAAAGTATTATGTGCTTATCACAGATCAACAACAAATTTACTAGATCACCTTCGAAAAAAACATAATATAACTAAAGAAAGTGAATATAATAAATATATTCAACAGAATATTTCTGAAAAAAAACTTATTCAACAAAAGCTTGAACATATTCTAATAAAGCTACATGATTTAAGAAAACAAGAAAAAATAATTCAAAAGCTTTTAAAGCTAATTGTTAGAGAAAAACTTCCTCTTATTCTTATAGAACGCAAAGGTTTAGAGAATTTGTTAATTATATTGATCCTTGCTTTAAAATTCCATGCGTAAAAACTTTTTCAAAATATATATTTCAATCATATGAATATAGCACTTCTTTACTTAAACAAATTTTACATACAAGTGCTAATTCAATTTCTCTTATGGCTGATATATGAACATCTTGTGCACATTATTTATACCTTGGCATTATTTGTTACTGGATTAATAATGATTTTGAATTGTGTGAAATATTATTAGAAATTGAAGAATTTAGATATGAACATACAGCAGAAAGAATCACACAATTTCTTGAAGCTGCAATGGAAAAATAGTCAATTCAAAATAAAGTTATTACAATGTTAACAAATAATGGATCTAATATTAAAGCAGCTTTTCGTCATCATCTTTCTCATATAATTAACATCCCATGTGTTGCGCATACATTTCAACTAAGTATTAAACAGGGTATTATCGCTGCTAATTCTTTAATTAAGAAGGCAAAAGCATTAATAGATTTTTTTGAATTTAATAAACAATTAGAATGCTTAAAAGAAGCACAACAATCATTACATAGAGATACAATATATGAGATAATACACGATGTAGATACTAGATAGAATTCGACCTTTTATGCTTTACGTTGTTTGTATATTCTCAAATTACCTATTCAATGGCTTGCTAATACATTAAGTTATGATGCTAAATTTAATGTTTGTAATGATGGTATTAAGCTTCAATCTAAAATTTTAAATGACAATGAATGGAAAATGCTTTACAATTTAATCCATTTATTGTATGAATTTGAACAAGCTACAGCTCTTCTTGGTGGTTCAAATTATGTAACCTTAAGTGCAATGTTCCCTATTATACAATAGTTAATTTATAATTTGTACAATAATTATTCAAATATTGATGATACAACTATACAAGTTGTTCGTAATGCAATTTTGACAGATATGAAAAAAAGATGAGAAACTTCTCCTAGATATGCAATAATGGTGTCATTCTTTAATCCAAGATTCAAATTATTAACATTTATTGAAGAAGTAAGTTTTTATCAAAAAGCTTCTAGGTTTAGTCAAAATTTTATATTAAGTTTTTTTTATATCAAAGGTTTTTATTGTAAAATTTTTAGTTGAAACTTATAAAACCTTTCTTATATCAATTCTTTTTTTATTATTATAGAGTGAAAGGCTTGAAATTATCGAAGATTTGCATTAAGAATATCAACAACTTTCTTCAACATCTACTAATCAGCCAATTCAATTACAGCGCAATTTACAACAAGAGAATGACATTCTTATTGAAAATAATTTTAATGAGTTCATTATACAACAAAAATCAAAACCAAATATGGCCTCATTTTTTAAATCTTCAATGACTCAAGATCCTGTTATTATTTCTGAGTTTGATAATTATTTGTTTATTCCTGAAGTTTATACTAACCTTGAAGAATTTGATTCTATAACCTGATGGAAAGCACAAAAGTCTACTTACCCAACTTTATGCCTACTTGCACACAAATATTTAGGAATTCCAGCATCTTCAGTCCCCTCTAAACGGGCCTTTTCACATGCTAGAAATTATGTAACTATTAAAAGAAACCGATTAGACCTGTCGCTTGTAAATTAGCTTCTATTTTTGTACCAAAATATGTTATTTTTAGATATTTTTCCTGAATTAACATAAATATTTTTTTATTTTGTTTTTTTTTTTTATTATCGTTATATGTTTTAAATTTAAATTTTTGTGCAATAGAAAAATATAAAAAAATATATTCCGATATATAGTTTATTTTTAGTCAATTAGATAGTTTATTAATAAACAGAATTTTATGCTATTATATATTATTTAAAATAATTTTTTATTTTTAATTTAAAAGCTCTTTTAAAATATCATGCATGCTCCTATGCTATAGTTTTTTTTTCTTGTTATTTTGTGTATAAGCAAAACAATCTCAAATTAAAACTTAGTTAACTAGTTATAATTGTATAATGATATCAATATTAGCATAATCAATATCTTATAAATATTTAGTATTTATCTACAATATATAAATTTACTTTACATATTATACAACTAGTTGACTAACTAAAAATTAGTCAACTGATTAGTCAACTAAAAAATTTTAGTCAATTTATATCACTACTGCCAGTAAGGCGCAAGAGGCCTCCTATTGTTAACTATCTACTCACTTTTAGAATACTAACATGGGCTATCCTTACAGAGTTCATTCAGACTTCAGTACTAACTTCATAGCATATTCCTAGTACTTTTAGTATACCCCTGCTTTGAAACCCAGACTTCCAATTCAGATAATTTAGAAGAACTGTGACCTGTTCTTAATATTGTTACAAAGTAAATTTTAGCATAGTATATTATAAATAGCATTAGTAGTTATATATATTCTTTATTGTATTTTA